GCGGCGGGCAAGCGAGCGGCGACGGCTTAGATGAAAAAACGGAATCTCAAAACATATTTTTGGTGTTTTGAGAAAAGTGTTTAATTTTTGGATTTTGTAAAGGGTCAAGTCAAAAAAAGCCCCGGTTGCCACGTTTCATTGTTTTTTTTGAAAAAAAAAAACAAAAACGGCAAAAACGCCATGGTATCCAAACGCTCCAACACTCAAACACTTCCACAAAATTAGAAGAGAGTAGCAATGCTATAGCTATATATATCCACATGACCACAAATATCTTGAAAATGAACGAAGAAAACCACAAAAAAAAAAAAAAACCATATTAATTACCCACATGCACCCACTATTTTTAAAACCACCATTCTCCATCTCCATCTATAACATATTCACATACCAAATTAAGTTGTTGGAGTTTCCCCTCACCAACTACACCATTGATCAACCCGTTTTTTTTCCTTTGTACTTAAATTGTATAACATTCATTGCAATGAGGACTCACATTGGCCCAACCAAAAAAAGAATAATGTACTAGCCTTGTAGTTAGTTAATAACGAGATCATATCATTATAAACAAACTAAGTAAAGATTAGTAATTCTTAAGAATGTACTACGTTCCCCTAGCTTCCATTGCAAACTTGTTAGTTGTTTATTCCTGACCCTATGAGATTTTCAAAATTAATCATCTATCTCATAAATATTTAAAATATGTTTAAATAAAACTTATGGCAAATGTAATAATCCATGTTTATAGATTTTAACTCAAAATGAATCTGACTAATTTATAATAAGAAAATAAAAAAATAATTATTTTGATATTTAACCACGTGTATTGCACGTGCACATGAACTAGTGCACTAAAACTAAGGGGATGTGTCCACGGGTCTATCTGCAATAATAGACCGAAAAGAAAGTCTATCCGCAATTGTGTGATGTTCAGGGGTCTATCTACAGTAAAACCATAATAAATTACAATTTATTTTATTAGAAATGAGAGATATCAGTTTTTTGGACATCTATCGGGAATTGATTGTTATTCAAATAGATAAAGACAATTACCGAGGCCATGTATTGCTACGAGTATTATTTATCGAGGTATATCTATTAAAATTTAATAATATGTTTTTTGTATACCGTTACTCATAAAAACTTCATTGCAAAACAAACAGTAATTTTAAGATTAAAAAACCATGCCGTCACACAAACAATGCACGAATTTTAATATTCTGAATTAATTTTTGTGTCACAACCAAAGTCTTTTTGTAATTGCAGTTGAAATTGTGTTATCAGCTGCAGTAAAAATAATCGCAATTATTGCTAAACATTAATATTCAATTGATCACAGAAGAAACGACTAAAACCCTAACAAATTTTCTTTCTCTGTTTTCTGTATCTTTCATATCATACAAATCTATACTGCCGAATGAAGCAACTTTCGAATAGGGAAAGGATATAGAAGAATTTTTCAAAACAGACCCATTCCCATTTTTTTTAAACCGACCTATTTTTTTATTTATCAAAACCGACCCGATTTTGTAATTAGCAGCTTAATCACCATCCTAAACAGTCGGGGTTGCCAACCCCGACTATTTAGGATGGTGTTAAACCCTAATTAGAAGCCTTAAACCCTAAAAATTAATGTTCTAAATAGTCGGGGTTGCCAACCCCGACTGTTTAGGAAGGTAATTAAGTAGCTAATTACAAAATCGGGTCGGTTTTGGTAAATAAAAAAAAGGTCGGTTTTAAAAAAAAATGGGAATGGGTCTGTTTTGAAAAATTCTTCAAAGGATATATTACTTTAATTAATCTACACGTGCGCTTTGTTCTATGTAATGGTTCGGTCACCACCACCATCACCAAATAAATAAAAAATAAGTTACGTATTACTTATTTTTATTTTTATTTATTAGAGGATAAAGTCGTATTTTAATATTAATAAGTAAATCATCTTATTCATGGCAAAACAAAAAAAGTTAGAAAATCCTAGCTTTTCTTTCCAACTTATAAGTTAAAAATAAATAAATTATCAAACATGATTTAGAGTCTTGTATTGTAAGGTTGCGTTTGGATGCGAGGATTTGTTTTCAAATTCCAGAATAGAATTCTGAAATTTGAAATCTAGAATTTCAAATTCAATTCATTCATTTGGAAAACATCCAAATTTGAATTCCAAAATTCAATTTGAAATTCATGTTTGGCAAACTTTAGAATTTTAATTTTGAAAATTTCAATTGAGTTGTTTGTCAATTAGTAGAATTCTAATATCTAAGCTAAAATTGTAGTTTGTTAACTAGTAGAATTCAAATATCTAAACTAAAATTGTAGCTCGAAGATAATTTAGAAATAAGATAATCAATTTACACAAAGTATGCATCGAAATTGGTGGAAATAAATGTTTCAAATAGTATATCAGATTAACTTGACGCATAGATAAAATACCTTAACCCCTCAAATGCAGGAATATCAATAGTTGACCTAATAATCACCATAAAAATGACCGAAACCATTCATCAATAAAAATACTAGCATATCCAAATGCTGTAGTTGGCTCAATTACAGAATTTCAAATTGAATCCTTCAATCCAAACAGACGCTAAGTGAAAATAGGTTAAGCAATTAGCCAACCTCTTATTAGTACAAACTTGTCCGTATGAAGCTCTTGATACAAAACAACGAATAAATGAGTTAACCGAGGGAATCAAGGGATTAAAAATTAATGATGTTATTGTTGAGAAGATTGGGTCTCCTTGATAAAGATACGACCTCTTATTAGGCTTGATATTATAGTTCGTCACGATCTACTAAAATAAACCTCTTATTAGGCTTGATTCTCTTTATTAGTACAAACTCGCATGCTTAGAATCAACCTCTTATTAGGCTTGATTCTCACTCTGGTTTAACAATTAATTAACTAAATTAAAACTCAACTTTTTTGCCCTTTAAACATAGAAGCACAAGCTTTTGTTGGCTTCACTTCTGGTTCACGGTTTAAAATACTCCTTGATGTTTGCCTCAGGAACTAGATTAGTCTCAACCAAGTTTTAATTTATTACAATTATCATACGTCATGAAGGTTTAGCTAATTAGTCGCTTGCAACCCATGTCGGATGCTACCCACTCGTCTAATACTTTCATATCTCGAGTATGTTATCAAATAAATCCTTTTCTAATAGAATAATTAGTAGAAAACTTCCTCTTAGTTCACTAGCTAGTAGCTTGTAAATTTAAGAATAGATAATCCCTCGAAAAAGTTCGTTAAGCTACATCCACAAATAAATATGGGTTTTCCCACGGAGCGGAGATTCTTAAGCATGCGAGCAAATGGTTCTAAACCGCACTCGATACAAATAGAGGGGACATAGTGGTAATTTACCCCCATTGTGCGGATCAAAACCACCCGCTCATGCAATTCTAATTAATAGAACTTGCAGCGGTGCACATGGACAAAGTGAGAAACTTTCTTAGTTTACGAACGGTAGATTGCGTCTTTAATAGTGATCATCATCATCAGCGCAAGAGTCGGTGCAAGAGTTACGCATACTATAAGAGTTTTAAAGACTTTACTATAAGAGTTTTAAAGACTTTATTTGAATGTCGTAAATAAAAGAAAAGTTAAAGAGAGGTGTACGTATACGTGTACACCGGAAGATCGCAAGAACTTACTTGGAAAAGATGCTAATTAATTTTATTAATAAGATTATTGTACGGCGTTTAAAAATGGCCAAGTAAATTGTACCAATGATGATAAAACTACACGTGAATAAGCTCTCCCTTCAACAGCTGAAAATTATAAAATCATACGGTACACAAAAGCAAGGTGGAGATTTCCAGGGTTCAAGCATGAGCCACACAGACCGTTTCAACTGCGTTTGGATTGGCTAAAATTGCAGGCAGGAGTAGGCAAATAAATACAAGACAAAGAAAGGAAAATAAATTTAATCTAACCGAACAAGAAATACACATAATAGTCTAACTGGCTCACTACTACAGCCAAAAGTAACCTATAAAACATACGTAATGCAGAAAACATACTGACGAGAGACGCTCAAGCCAAAATCTCTAACCTAACAACCGAACGGGCATCAGAGCGAGCATTCTAATATGTAAGCGTATAATGATCTAATCTATTACAAAAATATGTGCAATATTTCCTGAAATCTACATTAATCAATAATATAGAACCTCGAACAATGTTCTGCTTCATGGGGCAGGCCATTGTTTCGCGTAACAAAGAACGAAGGAGAATCTACGAACAAAAAATCATAATGGAAGATGTGGCTACATTAATCGCTAACTTTTAACTATCACTAGAAACAGGAAATTTAAGAAGGGTGACCCTAAACAACTTGTTGGATGATGGATCACTATAGACTGGCTATCTGCTCCCTAACAAGGGGCAATAAACATACTTAATACTTAATAACAGAAATGGCAAAAACAGGAGGCTAAACCTGCACGAGTTAAAAGAGAATGGCACAAACTTAACAAATCAATCAGTAAGTACAAAACGAATGAAGGCAAGTTTCATACCGACGACACTTCCACCTGGATCTTTATAAAAGAAATGTATTGTCAGTTAGATAATGTTTGTCCGTAGATACCAATGCTTTCTAGTTTCCTCCCCCATCCAGAACATCCTCATTTAACAGTAAATATGAACAGGTAAATAGATATCAATTTACTAGAAAGTATAAAACAATCTGAAGGTCCTAACTGGAGCAAGAAAATCGAAAAGTCTGCAGCTAGCCTTCAAGTCCAAATATCCACAGCAGATCCTACTTAGAAGGACGAAGAATGGAAAAAAGGAGGGTAAAAAGAACAAGAAAAAAAAAAGAAAAGAACAAAGGAAGTTAAATTACCTATATGAATGGCACATAAAACTCATTAAAAGAAATTACTAATGACTGTGTTTCAGAAGAAACATGGTCAAATGAATGACTAATCGTGGAGCACAAACTACCACTCTAGAGCTAATTAGCATGGGTGCATCAGAATATCAGACTTACGACCAAGCTACATGCGTGAGTTAGCATCTGTTATGAAGCACGGACACGCATAACATGAAGCCGTGTCGTGTCCGTGTCGGACACACGTGTCGAACACACGTATCCTATGTATTTTTTAGGATTTTCCTCGTGTCGGCGTGTCGGATGGCCGTGTCGGATCCGTGTCCGTGCTACATATCTGTAAGTTAAAAGTTAAGATTTTGTCCACAAGAAGTAAAAAAACTCAACAAAGGAAGCTAATAATACTACAGCCCTTTGTGGAAATAATAGGATAAAAAGATCAGAGCAAATTGGTTTTTCTGCCTAGTCAATAATATGAAAAGAATAAAGGCAAAAGTCAAAAAAATACTTTCTCCAGGTTGGATTTGTTTACACGGTGAGGAAATAGTAAGATCAATATGTTTGTTGCATGTGACCTAATGAGATCAAAAGTCATCTATGAATTAAAGATCATGACACTACAATCTGGCCAAGACGGGCATGGTGAAGCAGTAGCACCTCCACCACTCTGTGTTAGTTGCAGCTTACCTAATTTATATGACAACTAAAATGAAAAGGGAGAAAGGGGGAGGAACTAAAATTAAATAAACAAGACCAATCTCCTTAATTAGTTAAAGCTGAGGGCTGCTTAAGAGATATAGCATAACGTCCAGGTTCTTTTTTGAGGACGAAATAAAAACCATGCAAATTTGGAAGTAACTTTGCAACACTATTCCTGCTTAATTCCGCATACCTCTTTGCAATAGAAAAGAACTTTGTGAAGTCACTCCAATGATGCACCAACAGCAGTTCACTCCGGGCACCTGCACATGTTTTTCATATCACGAGAAGCAAACTAAACAGAGTCGAACACCTAATAATATATGTCAATAAAGCCACTATTATCAGCCAACACGAACAACAACACAAGTATTAGGAGAAGAAGCCTTATCAAACGAAAAAACGCCAGTTCTCGAGATCCCTGCATGCATACAGAAATGTGCGGTCCTTGCCAGAGACGAATGCTCTAGATAACGAACAGGTATCATCCTGTTACCCATATATAAAACAAGAAGGGAAAAAAGGAAAAAAAAAAAGGAAAAAATAAAAAAAATAAAAAAGGAAAGGCAAAGAAGAATCTAATCACCGTACAAGTACAATCAGGATTACATAAACCCTAAGAAAATACAAAGGAAAAAATTATAGCTTCGCAAAGTAATGCACCTCATTGAAAAGGAAGTCCCCACCATCCCAGAAATTCAATCAAGTAGTTAACAGCAAAGTCCCTGCATTTGTCAGAAACTAAATTACCAGTCCATACGGACCAAACAACACTACCGCTTCAGGTAGACATTTGTGCAAATAAAAAGGGAACACTTAGGAGGCAACTAGGTAGTCCAATTGAAAAGTTTCTCTACCTAATATAAGGATAAACATCAACAGTTTTGTTAGCCCAGCTCATTACAATTATCCAACAATATAAATCTTAACTGGCGAGTGTACAGAGCACAACCCTCAAGAAAACCCCAATCTCAAATATATTTCACTGAGGTCTTTCAGGACCTGCAAGAACAAACATGCGCAGATTTTGGCCAGCTGGACAGTGTATCAATGACGAACTTACCGGACAAATTACTAAGCGAACATCAAACTACTCGAATTGCAAAGCAAACTATATATGTCGGCAAAGCCAGTGATGCCAATTCAAGCTCTTCTTGTGAGAATAGTATCTTCATTCCTGAAAACAGAACTTTTAGATCAGAAGCAAGCCAAGTTAATTAACATTATGATAGGTAGCAGTTGAAGCCCAGGGATCAACTTCAACTTATATGGTGAAACAGTCTTAAGCATCAAAAGCTGGAGTATGTGTAGCCAAGCTATTCCCATGACCGAAATCTTGATCCTGCCTGCTTATTATCTCCATATTAGGATCCACAGCCTCCATTTTAGGGACCTCTTCAGCCAAGCCTGCAAAATTAACATTCAAGTCTCACATCAATTTAATTGAGGCATAGTAAAGACAATTTTATTCCATAACAGACTCCAACTGAAGCTTTCCTTACCATTTGGTGTTGGACCTTCCATATTCTTGACGGTTCCATCTTCAGGATTCAATGCATGTTGAACATCGTAATCTTTATGAGCAAATAAATTAGAATTTCCCCCATTTTGCATCTTGAGTTCTGATGCCTTACGTAGACCATGGTTTTCTGTGCTAAAAGATATTTTATGATCTTGTAGCTTTGGACTTCTCTTTAAGTTATGATCAAATCTAGAATCTTGTTTCTCACCCTCAAGACTGCTACAACCAGTGTCTGGTTTAACCGCCAAAGGATCAATTTTTTCAGGATAATTCTCTGTATGTTCCCTGGAGCCTTTTAGACCCCCTCGAACTTCATCCTCAGGTGAATAAGACCTTGACCTATCAGTCTTCATCTTTGAAAAAGCCTCCAATCTATCATACGTTTTATCTGATGACCTAGATTCCTTGACTATGGTATCAGCTCGATGAGACTTTTCATAGTCCTCTTCTGACTTCTCTTCCTTGCGATGACTTTTGGAATCTCTAGAAGATCTTTTCTCCGTATGCCCCGAACTCCTATGAGATCTTGAACTAGAATGATGTGAAGACCTCCTGTCATCTCTATATCGAGAAGATTCATATGCTGACGAGTCTCTTTCCTTAGTACCAGAGTCAGTTCTCTCATGTTTCTTATAACTTGAGCTTAACCTCTCATGTCTTCCTGATTCTCTATTTTCAATATCATCATCATTACATGTTGATCTTCTCTTATGCACGGACCTTTTTTCTTCAATGGACTCCAAGACTTCTCTGGTACCATTTTGATCTTTACCTACTGTATCAGATCCCTTGGTATTTTGATCATCAAGTTTTGACCTTTTATGATGATTGCTTTCTCGCTCATGATTTGTGTTTCCATCCTCTGGTAAGGAGCTCCTCTTATGATCGATTACAGACAAATCCAAATTCCTATCATCTGCTGGCTCCCTTGAACCTCTTGAATTTTTGGCAGCATCAATTCGGTCAGATTTCCTGGACTCATCCTTTGTTTTTTCAGAATCTTTTACATCTTTACTCATTTTTTCAGAATTTTTCCCATCTTCTTTACTCCTAGAGTAGTGCTTCTTCTCTGCTGATGACTTGTCAGATTCTTTTTCATGTCCTTTACTACTATAATGGTGCTTCCTCTCTGATTTTTCGTAATCTTTTGCATATTCTTTACTGCTAGTATGGTGCTTTCTCTCTGATTTTTCGTAATCTTTTGCATATTCTTTACTGCTAGTATGGTGCTTTCTCTCAGGAGATCTGGATCTGGAATGCCTACTGCGATGGGAAGTACCATTCCTATGTTCGCGGGTTGGAGATCTATTTCCTTCATGATGCTTCGCTGGTGACCTCGAACTTGCTCGAGATGACCTCTTCGTTCGAGGGCTTGAGCTCTCCCTGCGGTTCTTTGGCGATATGGAACCAGTTCGCTCTGGTTTTCTTGCACGAGGACTTGCACTCCTGCTCATGTTTCTTCTTGAACTAGAAGATTGGTGATCACGAGACCTTTCCATCTCTCGCCTTCCACCCCTGATATAGCTATCCCTATCATCTTTATATGACCTTCTTTCATTGCCACGACTAGAATGGTGATACCTAATTGGTGATCGTGACCTTCGATGTCTGGAGAATCTGATTGATGGAGAAATAGAACGAGACCTCCTGCTACGCCGATGCTTAATAGGCGATCTTGATCTAGATTTAGATTTGCGGCGAGAAGGAGATGAGGACCTTTAAAAATAGACAGGATTAGCTCATTACGGTGGGAAACTTTAATAAGAAAGGCTAAGCTGGCAATGCTTAAATTGGGGAAAAAGAAACAATAAATAGGCAATGATATTTGCAGCAAGGAAATTTAAGCTTCTAATTATGGGGTAAGCAAAAACAATTCTCCATGCTAGTGGTTTTAAAGAGAAAGTATATGATGCACGATACCCAGATTTCCTGTTGGCTTCCTTCATGTCATTATCATCGCCAACTAATCCCTCTGCCTTCAACTTTTTGCTTATTTCAAGAGCTCTTGCTGCTGCCATATCTGTCGCAGACTTCATTGTTGCTGCTCGAGAAGCAGCCTGCTGGGAAGCCATTGTTTGTTGCATGAGCAAAGCTTGCTGAAACTGCATCTGTTGCATAGCAACTGCTTGCTGCAGTGCTAATGGTAAAGAATTGTTGGGCAATGCACTCTTGGATGGGAGGGATTTTGCTATCTCCACATTTAGTGGTCGCCCCCCTACGTCCATATTGTTCAGGGCCAGAGCTGCAGTAGCTTCTTCTGGTTTTGAGAATTCTATATACGCAAAGTGCTTTGAGTCTGTAATGCTACAATCCACGACAGTACCACAGTAAGCAAATAGTTGTTTAAGATGCTCCGCTGTAAGAAGTGGGCTCAGATTGCTAACTTGCAATGTCCTTTTCAAGACATCAGCTTTCGCAGCTGGGTCAAGCGATCCTGATCATGGTATAAGAAAAATTCAGCATTTCTATCATTATCTTTTAGAAAAGATAATTATATATTCCTAATCACACAAATTTAAAATATGAGATGTAGAAGAGAGATGAAATTCGGTTAGGGCACAAAGAATTGAGATTCCATGTTCTCTAGTTGAAAACAATAAGAACTAAGATTCAACATACAAAATTGTTCTATTTTTCTATTAATTGACAGCACAATGGATAATGCCACATAAATTCGCAATCAACAATGACAAAACAGTACCAAACTCACATATTGAGCTAGGAAAAGCCATACATCAAGACACCAATTGATTCTTATCGTCGCTAGATTGGTAATGGAAGGCTGAAAAACAACCAATAGGAAACTGTCTGCTGCTCAAAAGGAGCTCATACAGGCACATGACAAAAAGTGATAGTTTTAGGGTGTCAAAAAAGTGAGAGCCATCATTCGGAGGAATGGGGAAAAAACCGTTATGCAACTTGTTATTTTGCAAATTAGCAAGCAAGAAATTCGATTTCCAGTTATACTTGAATAAATAGTTTAGAACGCCACCGACAGCAGAAGAAGACAATTTTAGGCTACAGAATCACTTATAAAAATGTGTTCTCAAGTTAAGAGTATAGAAGCTATACAGTGTGTTAGACAATATCAAACTACAACGTTTGCAGGGAATTGAGGGAACTATGTCCGTGGTAGCAACAAACAAGTAGTAGCATCAAAGAGAGCATAAAGAGTGTTGCGGGGTACTAGAAGCCTCCTATAAAATACAGGAAGAAATGCTGATAAGAACATACAGAATCATCTTTCTAGCCTGACAAAAGAAAATAATACTTTTATTTTACAAGCTATGCAGGGTGTAAGACTGTTAGATAATATCAAACTAAGATATTTGCAGGGAACTGTCCGTTGTAGCAACAAACAAGTAGTAGCATAAAAGACTGTTGCAGGGTATCAGAAGCCTCCTATAAATTACAGGAAGAAATGCTGATAAAAACATAAAGAATCATCTTTGAGCCTGACAAATGAAATTATACTCCATATTCCATAAGTTCGACTTAGATCAGTCATTAGATGATTTATACTTCGATATTGGTATGATATTGGTATCAGATCAGTGGTAAATAGTATTCATAGTGCGGTCATCAGATCAAGTTAACATACATAGGATCCAATAGATCAGCAACAACTTTTTATTGGAAAAACCTTTAACCAGATCAGAGAAAATCCACCAAGATGAAGATGAATAAAAGGCTACAAAATGAAAAAAAAAATGGGGCAAGGGCGGGACGATATTCAAGGTAGTCAGGGTGAAAGGTGAGATGGCATCAGGGCGTACAGGTGGTGACCAGTAGGGCAGAGGGTAGAAGAAAGCAGATTTCACAAGAAGGTATAGAAATATGGTCCCCACGGATTAGCATTAGGGATTTGGTTGTCAACATAATATGATCCAATACCATGTTAAGTTGCAACAGGTGAGTCAATATCAAATAGCAAAACCCGAGTCATAGGGAAATTACTGAATTTCTAATCTTGAACAAGGGATTACTTAAAAAAACTAGATAACCAGAAGCATGATTAAAATTAAAATTCCAACTATACAGGGTCATTGTAGGACATTGAAATACAATTCCATTTAATGTAAAATCTAGCATAAAGATGTATAAAGAAAGATTTAGACTTCAATTCAATGATTTGCGTACTTATACGGAGAACAATTTTCATAAAAAAGGTAATAAGATCCAAGCAGATGTCATAACATTTACGACACAAAATTAACTAGAAGCAAAAATATGTCAGTTCGAGATCAATCACCGAATCACCGCATCCACTAGGAAACTTAAACGTTGGATATAAGCTTCAAGAAACATATATGCCTGCAATAAGTATATACACTATGAGATTATCATGACATATTGTTACTCGATGATACAGGTGTATATTCTCTGTTTTGTAAACTTAGCGATCCTCGTGGGAGCTTGAGGATAAATGATTCTCATCGTAGCTTGAGAATAGAAGTGTGGATTAGTTGGCGAATGTGGATTTTTCATAATCCCAGGAAAATTCGAAGCTGGGAAAATGCCTCTGGTCGGTCGGTCGAAGCTTGCCATCGGTCGACCGACAACATGCACCTGTAGGCAACAAAAACAGCCGCACTGGACAATCGACTGATCTCACCTTATCGGTCGACCGATGAAGACCTATCGGTCGACTGATGAGCCTTCATCAGTCGACCGATAGCGGGTTACTGGGCCAGTTTGGATTCCTAGTCTGGGCGAATCCTATTTGGGTTTGTCTTAGATATTTATCACTTTGCCACCCACGATGATTACTCTTTAAATACAGGTTGTTTAGGGTTCCTAGACATCAATTAGAGTTTTGAGATTTAATAGAGTGCTTGCTATTGTAATCTAGAGAGAATAGAGAGGTTGTTCTTTATTCTAGAGAGAGATTGTGAGGAAAGAGATTTGTAATCAAGGTTGCTGATAGCGGATCGCGGCGCGTCGCAGCAAGATACCGCTAAGGCTATATCGGGCTATTGCGGCGAAATCGCGGCAAATAGCGCACAGTCAAATAACGGTCAAATTTAAATATATTTAAATATCCTAAATAATAAGAAAATTCATTAAAAAAATCTAAAAATTCAATTAGTTGTAAGTTTCTTGTATTATCAGTAAATAACAATTAGTAGGCTTGTTGTATGAATGAAACTATGAAGAAATTCAAGAAATATAGCATCATAATCAGTGTTATAAATAGCGGCCAATAGCGGGGCTATAGCGGCGCGAATAGCGGTCGCGGCCCTTAAGCGCTACGCGTAGGGGTTTCGTGGCTGGCTTAAGCGGGAAAATCCTCTATTCATTCGAATAGCGCGTAAAAGCGGATTTTAGCGGTTTAAAGCGGGTTTTCGCGGTTAAAAACGGATTTTCGCGGTTAAAAGCGGATTTTTGTTGTTAAAAGCGGCTAAACCCGCTATCACACATATTATGATGCTATATTTCTTAAATTTCTTCATAGTTTCATTCATACAACAAGCTTATTAATTGTTATTTATTGATAATACAAGAAATTTACAACTAATTGAATTTTTAGATTTTTTATGAATTTTCTTATTATTTAGGATATTTAAATATATTTAAATTTGACTGCTATTTGACTGTGCGCTATTTGCCACGATTTCGCCGCAATATCCCGATATAGCCTTAGCGGTACCTCGCCGCGACACGACGCGATCCGCTATCAGCAACCTTGATCATAATATGTGTGATAGCGGGTTTAGCCGCTTTTAACCGCGAAAATCCGCTTTAAACCATGAAAACCCGTTTTTAACCCGCTAAAATCCGCTTTTACGCGCTATTCGAATGAATAGCGGATTTTTCCGCTTAAGCCAGCCGCAAAACCCCTACGCGTAGCGCTGAAGGGCCGCGACCGCTATTCGCGCCGCTATAGCCCCGCTATTGGCCGCTATTTACAACATTGTTTGTAATCTATTGTTCTTCATAATCTAGAGAAGGTATTTTCCTTCGCCATATTGAATTGTTCGTGTGGTTTTTGCTATTTTCTTCACAAAGACATCCTTAATAATTCCGCGATCAAATGTGCTCGCACGACGACTCGTACCACTCGAAAGGACAATATCATGGCATGTTGTGATGCACCAAATTTCCAATGCCCCATACTAATAATAATAATAATAATAATAATAATAATAATATCAAATGTGCTAACTCTAGACTACAGAGTTTAAACCAACCAGAAGTAACTGCTAAGTTTAGCTACACACAAGGATTTCATGTCAACTCTAGGAGAAAGTATAACAACAAATTGTAAGAATATCACACTTTTCTTCATCAATTACAACAATAGTCAAAACTAAATCCGAAAACCAGCCAACAAGGAACGAATCATCCCGTTCTGAAAGCAATAAGAGCTACTAAAGGTTATGCAAGACCAAATGCTAACGTAGGAAGCAGAATCCAAACCTGAATCGCCTGCGCCGACTCGTGCCTGCCTTGTGCACGCTGCTGCCGCCACGATCGCCTGAGCTGCTGCCATTGCAGCAGCAGAGGGCGCCATCGGCTGCTGATTAGATTCCCCATTGTGCTCATCCTACAAACCAGCAAACTTAGTAGAGCTTTCAACCAATTACCATTCAAATAAATTAAACAAATCTCACCTCCGGTCATCCCCGGCATCAAAACTCCACCAGAAGATCCTGAACCATACCAGGCACCATCCCGATAAAGCCGGAAAAGCCCGACAACCGATCGGAATAATTAGCATATTAGGCATATTTGGTTCACCATATTCGGCTGCCCATGATCGGCCTCCCATTGCACTCGACATGAACCATATAATTCCCTCTCTTAGACACAGCATAGGTCACTGCATAGCTCCCATCGTTCTGATCCTTCACGATCCCTTCAACATCAGATCCCCCGACACCGACGCCAGGCGAGATCTTGACCTTGACGTCGGCCCCACCGATCGATATCCTTCGGCCGTCGGAGTCCTTCGCGACCACCGTGAAGGTGGACGGGGCGCCGGCGGTTCCTCCAGCGATTCCGGCTCCAGCGGCGAGGCACTTCGGACGGGTCATCGGGCCCGCGGGCCTGCTGGGAGAGGTCAGAGTCCGCATCGTCGTCATCGTCGGAGGAGGCGTCGGCCTCGGAGGCGAGGCAGCGGCCTTGGAGGCCTTAGGGCTTTGAAGGTCGCCTCAAGGGCGGCCTTTGCGGCGGCGGTTTCTCGGCCTCGTTCTTGATCTTGGCCTCCTCTGCTTGCTCATCCATACTGGCTTCGTCGCTGACGTTGCTATTGCTCGAATCCGCCATCGATTGCGACGAAACCCTAAGAAATCGAGGAGGGAGAAGGAGACTAATCGAATCTAGGGTTTCGAGAGGGATAGAGGGAGGATTGAGTTCCAGCACGTATAATTATTTATTTATTTAATTAATAGCTACAACTCGAACACGGAGAAGATATTTTCTCACGCTCAAACGTTTATATGGACCTGTTCATAGTTTGTTGGATTGGAAAAAAGGCCGCAACACTAAATGTTATTGGCCTCTCACGTCTTGGGCCGCGTCAAATGCTCCCGATTTTTCTCTTTTTAACCTCTCACTTGTTTTGAATGACCCGTTTAGTACATAGCTATCGAAAAACGCTCTTTGAAGAATTCCCTACGGTTTCTCATGTCAAATTCGACTTTTTTTTTAATCCTTTTGTTTGCTTAAATCGGAATTAACCCTGCATGCTTTGTTTTTTTACAGGGTTTTTCGTTCGCATCCCGAAAATTAACGTTCCGCGTACCAAAAAATTGACGTCGAGAATTATTATTTCATTCCTACTCATTTCGCATACTCAACGAACCCTATTATAACTACCGTGAAAAATGACTGAGAGTATGTAAGTACGGGGAACATTATAGGTATTTAAGCGCCAATTCGCCATGCAATCACCCCCAATATTTAAAAAAAATTATATCACCTAGCTCAGTCTTGTCCTCACAGCAGGCCCAATAATACTCATGGGCTTGATTCGGTCCCAACCATCGTGTTAGGACCGACGGACCAGAGGGAAAATAGGCCGCGAGCCCTAACACGTTACCGTATCAAACGATAAATACAACCTCACCGCGAATCGCCACCCAAAAATTCGCTCCCCAACGCCGGACCGCCTTCCGCTCACCCAAACCAAAGCGGGTTTCGCGAAAAGAGCGTCCCGTTAGATTTTACCTATACATGGAAAGTTTTAAATTCAGACAATTAAATCCCGAGGCAAATCTGTTCATTTTCTCTCCCCTGCATGCGTTTCTCTCCTCTCTCTCTCTCTCTCTCTCTCTCATCTCTCCTCCTGCGGCTGCCGGTGCGGTGCGGTGCTTCGATCGGTGAGAGATGGGAATCGGGAGGAGCGAAGAGACAGGCGTGACCGGCGCGTCTCGGGTGGGCCCGGAAGGCAGCCGGTGAAGGCCGAAGGTGACGGCGGGGCGGTGACCGCCACTCCTCGTCACTCGGCGCTAGAGGGCGTTTCGTACCGAATCATGACCATTTCTACGTCATGGCCGAGGTCGTCCACGCACGGCCGGGCTTGTTGTTCTCGCCTTCAAACTCAACCCAACAAAATACTTGCTCAGGTGATCAATTCTTTGGGTGAAATTTTAAACCCTCAAACAGATTCCGAAATCCCACTAAACCCTCGATAAGTTTCGCAGGCTTTGTAGACAAAACCCACTGGTGAAGTCGGTTCACATTTAGGATCTAAATGGGTCACCGGCGCAAAACGGTGGAGTGGCGCGGGACGCGCCGGGGGGGCTTCTATACAGCATCGCCGGAAACTTATTGGGAGTTTTCTGCAATTTCAATAGTGTGTTGGGAGTTATTTTATAGGTAATTGGGTGTTTACTGCAAAACATTGAAAGTCTCTTGGGTTTGATATTATCTACCCTATTAGAAATACTGGGGGGGGGGGGGGGGCTTCTATACAGATCGCGGAAACTATTGGGAGTTTTCTTACATTTCAATAGTTGTGGGGCTTATTTTATAGGTAATGGGGTGTTTACTGCCACAAACATGAAAGTCTCTTGGGGTTTGATATTATCTACCCTATTAGAAATACTGGGGGGGGGGGGGGGTTCTATACAGATCGCGGAAACTTATTGGGAGTTTTACAATTTCAATAGTTTTGGGGCTTTTTTATAGGTAATTGGGTGTTACTGCAAAACATTGATAGGCTTCTTGGGGTTTGATATTATCTACCCATTAGAAACTTAGTAATAGTGCACGCTGCTTCGCACGAGAGCATGTTTTATTTATGCTTTTAATTTTTTTTCATGGCCCTACAAAAAATAATTGACTAATATATATATAGCAATATAAATTCTGAACAATTACAATTTTATTTAAATGAATAAATTGATATATAATAATTGTATGATCAATTATAGTTTGGATAATTATTATAATTATTAGAATAATTATAACATAAAATAGTTTTTTATTTTTTAAATAAATAATATTATACTTGGCATAATTATAATACTATTAGTAACTCCATTTTAATTTAATAATTAGTTTATTACTATAAGTAAATAATTTACTAAATTTATAATTATTAAATTATAGTATAATTTATTAATCAAAATACTAATTAAATTCATTATACTATTAATTACTATTACATATCACAATAAATGCAAATTATGGTTTCATACTATTATCATATTTTTGAAAGAATAATAAGATATAAGGTAACAGGTAGTTCTCCATATAGAGGTGAAACCCAAAGTTATAGGCATAAACCTAATGAATTTTTGTTTATTTTTAATTTTTAAGAATTTTAAGTTTTATGTGAGGATTAAAATTAGGGATAAAATTTCAAATTTTCTATTTAAATAATAAAATAATAGTGTGACCGAATGTTTTTGAAAAGTGGAGAAATATATAATTAATAAGAGTCATAAAATTAGTGAATGATTAATTACAATTAATGTATATTTGAGAATTATCAAAGTTAAAGGGGTAAAAATGAAAATCAAACGTTTTAACACGACAATCCTCTTTTATATGTAGTATAGATTGTAAAAATATTAGTAGTGTTTATTATAAAGTTCATAATTTTTAGGCATTGTTTGTGTATTTGTAGGTTTTTAATCTGATTATAGGTTTAAAATTTTCAAGATATTTTTTACAAATTGAATTTTTAGGGGTGTTTTTGTAAATTTTAAAACTTACCAGTACTTTCTCTAAAGTAAAAAAAATTAAGTTTTTAGCTAGCATAGGTTTTTTAGATTTCTCACTGAAATTGGAAATAAGTAAAATTATAATTTTTAAGATATTTTAATAAAATTTTTGAATTTGTATGGTGTGCTTTGCAATTTAAAAAACTTGAAGGAATTTTTATAGCAAAGTCCAAAAACTTTAGGTAGCGCTAGCATAATTTTTTTGTGATTTCTCTTAACGAACAAAATAATACAGATTTAAATTATATCAAAACATTCTCATTTATCTAATAACATGCTAAGTCTCATTATGAATAGGGTAAATCATTTAATTACATCTTAAAAGAGAGTTATGTAATTAGACATGTTAGGTAATATAATATTTTAAAAAAGATTAAAGGGTAATATGATCATGGAAAATATGTTCCCGAACTTCTAACTTTAAAAGAGAGTATGATTCAATATGCGATGCGGACCAATTATATCTTACCCGTGAAGTTTGAATAATAGATAGAAGATAATCAGGACGGAGAGGTTGAACTTGATTATATCTGAATATTTGAATTCAAAAAGTCAGGGGAGTCTATCTAAAACATTTAAAATATAGAGATAAATTTCTTAAAACACCTTAGGCTTTACCATTTTCGATATATAAGCCTTGACTATTATTCCGTAAACAACATTCGATATCGACACTACTGTATATTTACTACTTGTCTGTATATCTCCCCGGATACCTAGCTCGCCAATATGATATGGGTTTGACCAATCCATCATTTCCCTATGTGTCGATATGTTTTCCCACGATATAGCTAGTCGCATAGTGATATGGTTTTGACCATCCATATTTCCCTAATTCGATATGTAAAACCTCTTTTTGTATTGAGAAGCAATTATTCTTTCTAACGTGCAGGGAGACGAATCTAAGCTGTCAATGCAAAGTAACATTTCGAGGAAGATCCAGACCTGAATTGAAAATCGGCCAAACTTCGTAATGTTTTCATAAGCTCTATGTACGGCCACACCTCGTTCCCTACAAAATTTTAGCTGCCCTATAAATGTGATGGATGAACAAAGACAGCTGAATAAATACTAAATCTATGACCTCTTTCTATGTGGGAAACGATCATTGCGCCTTTATTGACGGGGGAGTGGAACCAAAAACATATATAACCAAACCAAGAGAATTCACTTCACTTACAGAACGTAAAAGATATCTAGCTTCGGCACAAAACTAACCCAACTTTTATTATTTTTTGAAATTTTAAATGTTTGCGTTCTTTCTATTAGTGTCTTATAGACTTTTTAGACCGGTACTAATTGTACAGGGGCTTTCTTAAGAGAATGCATGATGTTCTGACTCGATCGCTCTCCATCAATAGTCAAAATTCACCAACCACGAAAAGTAGCTACACTTAATAGAGAACAACAAATGCCTAAGCTTAATTTATATATCTAATCGTGTCGAACCTTTCAATGTCCTCCTCAAACCGATTTAGTTAATTTGCATCGAAATTTGATCAATTTGTTTTCCTTTTCCTCCACTATGCAATGTAGGTTCCTCACTCACTACCAGCTCAGAGCCCTGAACATGAATATTCTTAAGCAGCAAGTAAAGAATACTCACCTATAGCACCTTAGGAATCCATTGACAATGGACATCCATCTTAATCCATTAGATTTTGCCCATCACTAATCCCTGCAACCATTTGGGTGAATACTACAACTGATGCCGATATCCAAACTGAAATTCGAGCTCCTACATATGAAGCGAATTGGATCAAATGATCGCCCAAACAATACTTAACAAACAAGGTAAAGGCATTATCGTGTTTATTAGATTAGCGATTTATAATTTAATCCACGACACAAGCCATCTTTATCGTCATTTTGCCTCGAAATAATACACTTCCCACAAAAATCATATTTCACGCCTTCCTTAGTACACTAGTGTTAATCAATGATGCGACTCTGTTATCTGTATAAATATAAAAACCATTATCTCCTTCGAATATTTCAAAAACATCACTCTTTTTGCTACATGGCCGAATTTTAATCTACCTAGATACTACTTCAGCCTCCCCAAAAATCTTAATCAAATCTTTAACCATACAATTATTAGTAAGTTATTTAAAATAGACTTCAGATTTTTGCCCCGCTTTACCATACAATAATCTCGGGTTATTTGTTACTTAAATGTTTGGAACCTCCAATTTTCGCCAGATAGTTTCTTCCTTTGTTCTAGCCATATCTATACACCATTTATCCCCAAATCTATATTCGGCAGAATGTTTTGGGGTTCGTATACCGTCGAATCTGCTATCGGTTCTTCCTCAACTCTCAGCTTGAGCAAAAGGCAAGTTACGCCATTCTTCATAGTTATTCACTCACTGAAACATGAACCCTTAACACAAACTGTACTAAACAGAAATTATATTGCATATGTCATGTACTGAAGGAGGTAATCTCTATGACCAAATGCAAATTGCTCTTTTGCCTTAGCATAGTGTGACAACACAGTATCCTACATCACACTATGTATAATTGCACTCGGCATTGCACGATTCTTGGGTCTCGACACCAATACTGGATAACTTCAAACCCAGTACTAATATGAATATTCTCTCTTTGTTGGATCATCTTTAAATCTTTAATTCATAGCAATCATATCCTCAATTTCGTGTCTCGCCAGTTCATGGAAACTCCTAGCCGGGAGCAGCGAATTCTTGAATTTGCACCACGGGCCATGTTTGAGTGCCTGGCCACTTTATTGCAGAATTAATTCAACATTCTTTTAGCTATTTCTGCTGCCATTACTATGCTATTAAAAAGGATCCGACTACTCTTTGACCATAATAACCACATCTTCGCAGTAAATCCAACTGATCGGACAACCATTGCGAGCTCCCCTAAATCTTCAAATTAGTATTTGCCATTTGTCCGATAATCCCACCAAACTCTGATATAGATCAAATCAAACACTTACGAACGGCAAATATGGACTAGACATCGTCATGACCGCGTATTCATGGCAAAAAACAAAACTTAATCCCTCGCGGAAAAGAGGTTTCTGCAAGTTTCAACTAGTTTAGATGTTTTGAACCAAATGACGGTTTACTGCACAAACGCTCGACAGTCTATAGTAGCTGTTTAGCTGTAAAACCCTTATCCCACCGTTATCGATCGAAATTAGTGCTATCCCAAGGACACCATTAATCCATCGTGATTTCAATCTTTATCTGCAGACTGTATGTCCGGCCAAGCTTTCGTGATGCATCCAGTGTTAGTGATGCAAAAATGCTAACGATGTCAAAAAGGGAAATAAAGATAGGTATGCCAGCTCAAATGGAATTAGATAGTTATGATTGTTTGTTTTCACTATCTCTTAAACATCTTAGCCGATGCATCTGGTTTAGTCGATGAAAAAAAAAAAAAAAAAATTTTTTATGGACAGCTATCTAATGAATCCTTTTGACTGACGGAGCGACCCAAAAAAATAACACATCACCCTTTTGCCAAATTTTCATCCTTACTGTAACTCCCGAATGCGAGAGCAGCGTATGTTGGCTTAATTTCAATTAAGGTTTGTCTTTTAAAGTTGCCTTCAGCCTAAATTCTGCTCAGCTTCTCAATGTGATGCCTGTAACATATTCTAATTAGTGAACACTGAAAAGCAAGTATATTTTCTGTTGCCTTTGTTTTGTGTTTTGTTTTTTGTTCATGACATGTGTCGGGTAGTAAGATCTGATGGCCTCTGTATACTCGAAGAGAATCTGAAAGACATCGCTGAGATTTAGGATTATATTTGAATTTAGGATTACCCTAGGATTAAAGTTCATAGACTTCACTCAAATTTTAGGCTATTGATCCTCTATATATTATATTTAATTTCAACAAACAATCAATTTCGGATTTAGACTTTGATTCAAACATACAGACCAAATACTCCCCACAACCAAAAGACCAAAAACACACCCCCGCAACACGTAACAAAACAATAGCGTTGAACCAGCAGAAAACACGTTACTTCGTCGACCGGATTTCAGTCGTCGACCGGAATTTCATCTGGATCGACGGAACCAACCCGGAACACCCGTACGACACCGACAAACTCATCATGCCTCGGCCACCAGTGCAACAAGGAGACATCAAAGGGTTCGAAGAATCGACCGTCATCCGGCTCGAAACCACAAACCTCGAACATAATACAAAAACTCACCTCGTTTGACTGATCTTTAAAATTACTGATTTAAACGACTCATCAAATAACTTCCCAAAATTAGTAAACAATTTGGACGCAACCACCAAAAAAACTCATGATTGATAACATGCCTCAATAAACACTGGCTACAACGACTGCAGTTAATCAGACAAGGACCTTCCCAAAAGAAAACTACCATCATTTTACAAGAATAGTCCAAAACGACGAAAATGCAAATCATGATTGTTGACACTTAGGCCATAACAATCGTTATTACTTACGAAAACCCAACAACCATATGCCATGCTCTATTTGTAGAGCTTAAAAAAATATGTATGATGAAATTTGATTAGTCTAAAACCTAAGAATAAGATATTCTTCAACAAATAACCTTAAACCCGAGAATGACAACAATTAAGCAGCACTGTGTACTGAAAAATATATTTGTTTACATATCCTAAGTAAAAGATACAAAAAAAACTCCAATAATAAATAAGAAGATATGTAATCTATATATATATAAAGGAACCGAACTTTTGTTATTATATAGTGCTTACTAATATACAAGGAACCAATAATGTGTGTTAATATGATATTGAGCTTAAACGACTCAACCTAAAAATTACACCTAACCAAGAAACTTACCCAAAGCAAACCCAAAAAGCTCTCATTGGAATCTCATGTGCAACTCCATTCAGCAAAAAAAAAGAAGCCCAAGTAGTACACATGCCGATTGCAAGCCTTATCGTCTCTCTTTTTTT